CTGATGACATGAACCCTGCAGCACTGAGGTTCCTTCCAAAGACAATAAAAAGCAGGAGAGCTGCATCTGACAGAGAAGTGGAAACTCATGTTATTTATTCTGCCAGCAGATAAACTCAGGAAGCAACTGGAACTTCAACTATATGTAATGTTTCATCCTATTAATCTGCTGTTTTGCTCTTCTATGTGGGTGGTGGCAAAATGTGTGTAATGAAGTTCCACTATAAATTGAGAGTTGACATCTGTGGCTTTCTTTTCTTTCACATTCTTATTTTGTCTGCCTTTGTAATTCCTCTGTGAGGAGCAAGGATGTATTTGAGGTTTGATGAGGAGGAGCCACAAACAACACCAAGGACTGTCAGACTTATTCATGGGGAGAGAAATGGTCTGTCAGGGGAGGAGGACTGAGTTAGATACACATCACAGGAAGAGGGAGCACAGTGTAGTCTGAGCACAACTGACATGAAGCCTCTGATGTCAGGTCTGCTCGGCGCAACCTGCCTCTCTTCCGCCTTTCTCTTCCTTCCTTTCTTTCAGCTCTCTCGACCTGTGGGCTCTGCACCTCAGCTGTGTTGCATTCGGTAATTAGCGACTCATTTGTCTGTGCGCACAGTTGAGGTGCATCCCAATGATTACCTTCCTCCTTATTTATACCTCTGGCAGACGCTCCCTCGTCGCATATCTCTCCAGTTTTGGCCTCCCTACACTGGTTACCTGTCCATTTTCGGGTCCATTACAAAATTTTACTCTTTGTTTTTAAATCCCTTCATGGCTCTGCACCATCCTACTTAACTGATTTGCTTCATTGGCATACACCCACACGCTCTCTGAGGTCAGCAAATCAGTTTCTCTTGAGTGTCCCAAGAACAAAGCGTAAGCTTAGAGGCGATCGAGCCTTCGCAGTTGCTGGTCCTAAACTCTGGAATGATTTACCACTGTCCATTAGACAAGCCTCTACCCTGTCTGTTTTTAAGTCTCTTTTAAAAACTCATTTATTTTCCCTGGCATTTTGATATTTTTGTGTTGATTTTAGTCATTTGATTGATTATATTTTATATTGTTGTTTGTGGTTTATAATTTATATTGTTTTATTGCAATGTACAGCACTTTGGTCCACTCTGGTTGTTTTTAGTGCTTTATAAATAAAGTTGGTATGGTATGGTATTTCAACCTGCTGCATTAGCATTTCAGTGCCACCGGGTTTTTCCTGCTCTGTGTTCTTACCACTGCTGGAGCTCATAATCTCACACAGTTAAATGCAATAATGCATTTTGTTTTATTTTAAAATAGATCAAATTCAACAATGTACATTTTATTGTATTTAAAAAGAAACCACAAACAGAGACTTTTTTCACTTTTAAGGGAAAAAATTAAAAGACTTCTGACTAATGACACTGATGACATCACTCAGACAACCAGAGCTTGAAGGTTCGGTCATAGGAGCAGGTGGCAATCAGTTTCCCGTCAGGTGACACATCCACACCCATCACCTGGAAATGAAAAACGGTGTGACACATTAATGCACCCAAACCGTCTCCACCAATCAGCAGCAGCAACTGAACAGACCAATTAGACACAGTGTTTGTACCTTCCCCTCATGTCCAGCAAGCGTCTTCAGTGGTGTCCAACCGGGGTGACTCCAAACCTTTGCTGTGTTATCATATGCTCCGGTCAACAGGAAGTGACCATCTGTGGCTATAAACAAACAAGAAATGAGGTCACAGACAATAACAGGAAGCTCAGAAAACAAAATATTACACACACACACACACTTTTTGTCTGTAATAAAGAAATGAAATGTAGTGGTTAGCAATAAAACAAGGCTCCAGAGGTGATATATAATAGAACAGTATATAGTTCATATAGATATTATTTGTGTTAGTTGTGTAAGGATGTAAGGCTGAGCTAAGTGTGTACGGAAGCTTGATCCGTTTCTCTTCTCTTGCTCAAGCAGGAATATCTTGGGCTGTGTCCCCCTTATTTAGCCTATTGGTCAACATCCTGAGTGACTTCCTCCTCAGATAGGGAATGGATACATTGTAGCTGTAGCCTTACGTGAACTGTTCGTGTGCTCTGTTCAGATTTAGAAAAAGGAAATGTGCGCTAGGTCAATGCGACCCAGAAGTTCAGGTACTGGACAGTTTAGACAATGCTCGGAAGAAGATGTGTGTGGGTAGCTGGCATGGGACCGCGTCTTCATGGCTCCGGCCATGCAGGGCTGTGTGAGTATGAGCAGATAAAGGCTGGGTTAGAGCAGAAGAAGAGAGAGAGAGGATGACCATGCTACCGTGAACAGTGTACCACAAGCCCGGCCTCGGAGGGCCGGGGCGAAACGACAACGGACTGGGGGTTGACAGGGGAACTGACTCGGGACCGGCATCAAACGGATTGACTGACTGGCGCTCTGACAATCTTCTTATGCTTTATCTATCACATTGCAGGAGGAGAGTCTCTGTTCTCTGTTATCCGTTTCCCTACCTACACGATTATGTGTTTAAATACTACTATATTCAGAATAATTGTAATATTAAATGATCTTGTAAATTGGGATTGTTTGTCTGAATTAATTTAGTTGGCACCACACTCGAGCCACGACAGAAATAAAATTAAAAAATTAGTGATAGGCAAGTTAACGTGTTAGTTTCGCGTTAATGTAATAATACTTCATTAACGCCGGCAACTATTTTATCGCGCATTAACGCAGTTTATTTTTATTATTATTATTTTGAAAGTCTGTTGCTCACTGGCTCCGAATACACATACAGACAAACCATGGGTCACAGGAGGGGTGGGATGTTGATCAGTACTGGCTTGAGATGGGCGTCATCACGTGTCTCAACCAATAAGAGCATTTGAGGCGGGCCTAAGACCGCTGCAATGCTCAGGTGAACTTAGGGCTGGGCGACATGGCAAAAATGTAATCTTGATCATTTTTTTCCCCATATTGATCGATAACGATATATTTGTCGATATATAAACTGTTAATGCTGCCAGCTTTCAAAGAGTATCCCAAGTATGAAGCCACAAAAATTTGAGGGTCCATTAGTTTAAAAATTAAGACAACTTACTAAAATTAATTGAAAACTAAAAGTTGTGACAAAAGAAGGTAAATTAGAGTAAACGTGCAGTGCAAGTAAACATAAAACTGTTGTAAACATAATTTCTAAGTAACACAATTACAGTTTTTTCTTTTCCAGAAAGACAAGTCTGTCTACATCATCATCACCAAGGCTGGCGATTAACTCCTACGCCCTGCCGGTCATCAGGTACCCCGCTGGCATAATAAGCTGGCCAAAGGAGGAGACAGAGGCCACTTACATCAAGACAAGGAAGCTCCTTACAATGCACGGCGGGTTTCACCCCAAGTCCAGCACCCTGAGGCTGTACACTAAGCGGAAGGAAGGAGGCCGAGGATTAGTGAGCATCAGAGCCACTATCCAGGATGAAACAACAAAGATCCATGAATACATCAGGAAGATGGGCCCGAGCGATGACTGCTTAGTGAACACCTCAGGCAGCAGAAACCAGAGGAACAAGGGAAGGAAAAAGAAGAAGAAGAATGAATGAATTATACGGCCAAGTATGTTACACACACAAGGAATTTGTTTCTGGTACAGAACCAATGGCAGCCATCTGCGGCGCCAACTCAACCGATGGCGTTAACCCTTGGGGGACACTTCGACACGTGGACTGCCGGCACAGAGACTCGAACCTCCAACCTTGTGGTTGGGAGAGGACTGCTCTACCCATCGCACCACAGTCGGCGCCCAAAAAGAGCAGGAACCCTCTTGGAAGAACAAATCTCTGCACGGTATGTACCACCGTCAAATAGTAGAAGTGGCTGATATTCAAAAAATCCTAAGCTGAAAAGTCCAAAGCTGGACTGAAAGACAGCACAGAGGCACTAATCATGGCAGCACAAGAACAAGCTCTAAGTACAAGCTCAATAGAGACAGGGGTCTACCATACCAGACAGGACCCCAGGTGCAGGCTGTGCAAAGATGCCCCTGAGACAATCCAGCACATAACAGCGGCGTGCAAGATGCTAGCAGGCAGGGCATACATGGAACACCATAACCGAGTGGCTGGCATAGTGTACAGAAACATCTGTGCCGAGTACAGGCTGGAAGTCCCAAAGTCAAAATGGGACACACCTCCAAAGGTGGTTCAGAATGACCAAGCTAAGATCCTGTGGGACTTCAAGATACAAACTGACAAACTGGTAATGGCCAACCAACCGGACATAGTAGTGGTGGACAAACAGAAGAAGAAGGCCGTAGTGATAGATGTAGCAAT